GTGTGATAGATGCAGGGACCGGTTGTCTGTTGAACATGTGCTCGTCTCATGCCGGCGCCTTGAGACGGAGAGGCGACGATTTTTTCCTCCAGCGCCCCTTCATCGGTTACTCGGTCAGGACCCATGTGGTGAACTTGGAGATATACTCGCATTTTTAGCACACATTGACTGACGTTATTTTCACTCACCCCTCAGTGTAAGTGCGCCAGTGATGCTACCTGTTATCAGTTGACAACATACTTACCGCGTCGTCGCAGAGGTAGATAACCGTCATCGAGTGGGCGCAAAATGGCCCTGATGCCGACGCGCCCTTAAAACCCAAATCACCACCACCACTCTCCAGGGGCTATGCTGCGTCGGCCTCCTGTCTTATGTTAGACGGTGGCCAACGGGGAACGAAAACGACAACGTTTCTGAAGAAAACACCTCTGAGCGATTTAGGATGTGAGTTGGACCTCCTGAAAGGTGTTCCGAGAGTACGTTTCATTTGTGCAATTTTTGGGGTTTTATATAAACGGATTAGCATTCATAGCAACGCGGACTGTTGTAAGAATCTGATAGTAGAACTAGACAAGAAAAGCTAGTACCTCTATTTTCGTGTTGCTGTCGCTGTTTTTATTTTCAGGAGGTAGGTTCAAAAAAATTTCAAGTTGAATTGAGCCGTTATCCACTCTCTCAACGGTGGACGCTGTTTTTGAAGACGTTGGGATCATTATTTCACGATGACTGTTCTCGGGCGCCAGGCGCCCATCAACCGGTGTTAGCTGCAGCGGCCAACGCCGCTCGGTCCCATGGAAACTGCAACCTCGGCCGAACAAACTGGTTTTTGCAATTTGTTTCACATGATGAACCCGAACAAAAATGGACGCCTCGTTTGTGTTGGCCCTTTTCATATTTGACTCATTGTGATTCGTCCCGTTTAACACCAGGGAAACCCTTTTTCTTATACGGGCAGGGGATCAGTGGTTAGAACAGTAGGGGGCACATTGTGTTTCCCGGTCAGGGGCTTCAGGGTCATTCGGTTATCGCGTCAGACCATCACATTCCCACCCATCACACCAAAATGACAGCCTGTGGGCTGTCATTTTGGTGACACAGCGGCGGGATCCCCTGGTCGATACGGAAACCCTTAGAGGGATGAATCATACATTGGTCACTTCCCTGACGCCCAAAGTCCTCCGATCTGGCCATCTGTTCCCGAATAGATGCAGGACCCTTCAGTGACGCAAAATATCCTTTATTGTCACAATTGTCCAATAATTGGTATAGAGACTACAGTTCGGCATAACGCGCCCCTGGCCCCTGAGCCCCTGGAAAGGGATGGAGAGCCCTTCATTCGGTACCGGGGCCCTGCCTGACAAAGGGCTTCCATTATCACGTTGTGGACTCACATCATTAGCTCCTATCTCCGTTTTCATTTTCAGAGGGCCTCGGAGAACGCAACAGGCCCCTGGCTTTCGGGGTCCCGTCCCTTTCTCTGTCCAACAGATGTTGCCCTGGCCGACTCGGGGCCACTTGCGAACATTAGACCCTCTTCTAGGCACTGTGGGCCACTGACCAACAAAGAAGCCTTCATTGCTTTAAAGGTCCCGACTAATGCAACTAGCAGGTTCCCACTTTGTCCTTGCTTAGGAAAAGGACGCCCAAGGCTCAGATCGACACGGAGCCGACTGTTCGGCGTCGGTGGTCTTTGGTCGAAATAGAGACCCGCATTACCACAGGGTGCCCCCAATCGTTGCAACAGGTCCTCTAACTGACATTTGATTGTCCGGCCCTGCCTTCGTACACTCCAAATGGGCCCTAGATCATTGGTCCCGAGGGACCCTTCGGCTCCTCTGGGGGCCCCTCGAACACTGTCCGAGGCCTACTCTGGGTTCTTTGTCAATAACGGACCCTTGTTAGGCGATACGGTCCCCAGACGACACAACGGCCACTTATTGACTTAAGGGCCCCAACCAAGATAAATTGCGGATCCCGGCCCTGTATTTGCTTGGGAAATGAGCCCTAAATCCCAGGCCTGACCCTGGAGCATAGCCTGGTGACAAATCTGTCGCGTATCACGGTCGCTAAGCTTCTACAACGGTAGTGAGTTTCGCGGAAGCCGAGCTGGAAACAATTGACGCCAAGTACACTAAAATACTATATAATATATATATATATATATATATATATATTATATATATATAAATATATATACAATATTTAATATACGTGATATATTATATAATATGTATAATGCATAATCTAATAAAACCTCTCGGATCTAGCCCAATTTTCTCTCAGTGACGTTACGGAGTCGGAGTGCCTCTCAAACAGATTATAAAAATACACACCTGGTCTATTAAGCTTGCTCGCTCTGTCTTGGCGAAATGTGTTGTTGGGCATCAAATTTTGTCTGGCGTCGATCGCCGAAACCAGGTTCCGGCAAATGACGTAGAGTTGATGTTATATGACTTCAGACGTTGTTGGACGTATACGGCTTCGGGAGCAGTGCTAGTTGACTTGCGCGACTACTAATGTCTGCCATGGAAATTCCCGCTGATTGCCGCAAGACGGGGTGCAGGCGCATCGCTCTCATTCGGCATGATGTTCGACACGGCTGGTGTTGGTGGTCGTGGTCGAACGATTACCGCCATTGGTTTGATCGGCTGGTGTCGATCGTCACGTTTTTGCAACTGTTTCATCGAATATTCCTGTTGAAGTGGAGGTCCACACATTTCAAGTTTTGTTTATATTTTCCGGTAAGACACCGGAGAAAAAACAACGCAACTTGCCGCGGTCTGTATAAATTCAACATCGCTGAAGAATGCCAAAATACTCCTACAATAGTACAAAGCTAGACTACAGTCAACCACAGATATCAGTCGTGTAGTTAAAAGCATGCAGCATACAGAAGAGAAAAAGAAGAAAAAACTCGATTTAACACTGAACGACCGCGGACCTTTAAAATGTGACTGACTCAGTCGGGTACATTAAACTGGACATGATATCGCAGCTTTTATTTTCTTTGGTTCTTTTGCCTGTGAAACAAAAAGAAGAATCGTTCTTTAAATGTTACATAGTTTCAAGCTTCTATCTGTATTGACCTTCATGAACTTGGCCTCCACAAGGCTGGACGGCCAGGCTCGCTGTTGGGGGCGGGGGAGCAGATTAAGCATCAGGGGGGGGGGGGGCGAGGGGGTAGCAGTCCGCCCAAATTAATACCAATCGACACCCGTGGTCAAAGCAACGACGGCCTCGACGTCCGTTGTTGCAGTCTCCATAGGCCGGGCGGTGTCGGCCCGTGGCTGTAACACTAAGCAATGACCAATAAGCAAACGAGAAAGATGACGCGTTTTGAGGAAGATGGCTGGTGAGCTAGGCAAATCGGCATGCATGTTAAATGTTGTGAAAAAATAAGCTAAACACAACCTTAATCTGAAAAGCGGCCCCCACCTTGAAAAAGGGGGATGGCCCCCTGCCCCCTCCCCGTTTCCTATACCTATGCTTAAACGACCTAACCATGCGAAACCCACCAGGCAGATATTGAGCCCCTAACAGTGATAAAAAGTGAAACAGCGATAAACACAAGAGTGATAAGAAAAATGACTTATGAAACCTCTTTAATGAGCTTTTTTGTGAGAAACGAGCGGTACTTTTCACTTGAGCAAAACGACACCGAAGGACCTCAAACAAAAGGAACTCTGAGAACTGCTCGGGGAGCGAGGATTAATAGCGTGCCGCATCGCTGACGTGAGTTAGCTATGACGTGCACAGGAGTATAACTGAACTGATAGTAAAACAAAAACAGCTTGTGCCTTACATTTTCCCTGAGCTGCTGTTTCCAACCCCCCCCCCCCCCCCTCCCCAAACCTTCGATCAGCTCCGTGAACCGAAGTGTCAGAAAGGGAGCACTCAATGAAGCACTTCGCTTCGTGAAGCATCATGCGTGCATTTTTAATTATCTGAAGGAACATACACATCGTATTTATCATAGTTTATTCGCATTCATGTAATAAGCATCCAGAAGAACGGAATTGATTTACCCTTTTCCAATCGAGAGAAATACATTGTAACACGACACCGAAGGACCTCAAACAAAGGGAACTCTGAGAACCGCTCGGAGAGCGAGGATTAATAGCGTGCCGCATCGCTGATGTGAGTTAGCTATGATGTGCACAGGAGGCCATATAACTGAACTGATAGTAAAACAAAAACAGTTTGTGCCCTACATTTTCCCTGAGCTGCTGTTCCCCCCCCCCCCAAACCTTCGATCAGCTCCGTGAACCGAAGTGTCAGAAAGGGAACACTCAATGAAGCACTTCGCTTCGTGAAGTATCATGCGTGCATTTTTAATTATCTGAAGGAACATGCACATCGAATTTATCATAGTTTTTTCGCATTCATGTAAAAAGAACCCAGAAGAACGGAACTGATTTATCCTTTTCCAATCGAGAGAAATACATTATTTAGGTTGAAGACGTTTTTTGGACGGTTCCCCAGTATAAAGCACCCAAATCTGCACTGATATCGGCTTTAATCGCGGCGTTCCCCTCAAGCACCGCCACTCAAACATCCGCCATCCATTTTCCTCCGTCCCATGTGTCCTGTCCCCGTCCCGTCTCGTCCTGTATGCGCCTCAGACAGGGTGCAGCTCTCGCCATCGTGTCAATGAATGGCCTTTTGCGTAAAAGGGTATTTGTGGCCTCTGCACCTCAGTTTCAGACCTGAAACGCCGCTAAGAAGCCTCACCAAACTTCACAGAAGCGCAGGCATGCCCTTTCAACGACTTGTAACTCCCACCGCTCTTTCGCCAGCTACGCACCGCAGGAAGGCCTCATGCTCTCTGTTCCCGGAACGCAATCCATTCACGGCTATGATGACATCATCAGTAGTACCGTAAGTCGGTTTTGTCGCGTATCGACCAATCCAGCACGCTGTTGGAGGCTCCGCCCACGGAGTGACGACAAACCTTTCCCCGCCCGGCGGCAGGTGGCAGCAGCTGTCGCACAGTCTTAAAAATGGCGTCAAGTCAGGATGCTTGGTATCTGTCGTTGCTGGGTTTGGCGGAGCATTTTAGAAGCATTAAGCCACCGGACATAAAATCGTGTGTGCAGTGTCTTCAAGCTGTGTTTAACTTCAATCCACCGCCTCGTGTAGAGGCCAGGACACATTTACAGCTCGGCAATATACTCCTAAGCCACACCAGGAATGCAGATCTCGCCAGAAAGCACCTCGAGAAAGCCGTAAGTAGTTTGTGGCTGCAAAGAAGAGGGGTTTTCAGCTCTATGAATTTTTGAAATTGATGGAAGTTTTGTCTTATAAACTCAGCTTGTCCTGCCGAACTCCTGACCATAGCTGCCACTTTCACTTCGTTAGGCACTGCAATTTCCATAACTTTTGCATGGAATTTGTTGCCTTCTGCTACATACCACTCTTTTATGTTGTACTTTCTGCAGTTGTTGCGTATTTTACGCTGTTAAAGAACTTTATTAGTAAGTTTACCTAACTTCTGGTCTGTTATCATTTGCGAGGGCTGAAAATCATTGGCATCGGTGCTGGGGACAGGGTTTTGCCCGACCCCATGGGTTAGTTGGCGATACATTTTGGGCAGTATGTAAATGAAGTGTGCCAGTACTTTCAGGGCAAGTGTTTTATTGGCCGTTTAAGCTAATTTTATGAATATTTGAAAATGTTGTCACGATTCGTAATGCCAAAACGCGTCGGGGATTTGAATTGTGGGTCAGATGTGGTGCCCCTGATACATTTGTGGTGGCACCAAGCTCCGTCGTAGTAGTTTGGGTAGACATTTCAACAATTCGGTGGGAATGCATTGCCTTTTGCTGCTAAGCTTTTAATGCTCATGTCCTAATGAATTTGTGAAAAAATGTATGGAGCATGCAGCCCCTGTTTAAAGTGATATGCACTCTGAAACATCTGCAGTTCAATGTCTTACTTATGATAATTTTCTGGAGCTAATTGTGGTGCCTATAAAGGGTTTTTTCAGTTATGCAGTGTATTTAATGTCAGATCATTTATATTAAATGCATATGAATGACATGTGTAGCCAATTTTTATTGAATGATACCTGTGATGGGCAGCATTCTAAGGTTAATTCAGTGTTGTAGGCATATCATTAGCCAATTTTTACTGCCGGAATACTAAAAATATATTGAATCTGTCTGGTCTGCAAAAAAGGGTCCAATGTACTTGATGCTTACATGATGTTGTTGAGCTTAACCTGTAGCAAGTGCCAACCTCAGGTGAGCTTAAATTGGGCCAAATTTTGAAATTATTTTCAGGAGTTTTGCTTGAATTATACTGAAGCTGCTGATGACCATGCACCAAATTCTGGGCTCCCAGATTTTTTTTTGTGAGTGCCCTGTAATTGATGCTGCTATGCCAGACATAGTAGGCTTATGTCTGGTGTAGCAGGTTTTTCCAGTTACAATACCTGTCACCCAAATGGCTGAATATTAAATTACTGGTGGTGGGTGGTCAAGCATGTGTGCTCACGGGTAATGGTAGAGTAGTGGTTGAGCTGTAGTTAAGGAAACTAGAGGTACATGATTTGATTCCCCACAGTGCCTGCCCTTCCTGCCAGAGTGAGGGGCAGGTGATGCCACATAGCCTCAGCAGCTGAGTGTGTCATAACACCACCAATGACAGCAAGTAAGAGGGTTGGGCTCAATGACAGAGAGTCACAGGCTCAGTTCTTATCACAGGGATGTTGCACTGGGCATTTTTTGTGTCTGGGAGTCTGGTACTTATCACCAATAACCACAGAATCTGTGAATGATCCAAGGGACCAGCTATAGTCATGGGTAACCCACCAGTCACACACAGCTGATTTGTATGTTGTGCCAGTTTGCCAGTTATTAAGAATTATGTGGATTAAGAAGCATTTTATAATTTGATGGATTTGTGCAGGCGGCAACATTTTCCATGTATCCACATTGGTTATGACTAAGGCTGCAGGTGAAGTGAGTTTTGATATTCACAGATCAGGAATTTTGCAGTTGCATTGGCTTTGCTCAAATGATCCTGGCTAGCCGTGCCTTTAGCTAGCTCTTTTGTCGTGGCCACTTTACAGACAACCGTGAAGTCATAATGAGTATGAGGCATGGTTCTTTTGAGAGCTGTGCTGTAATATTTACAAGGCACTTGCATTAACAAATTTAGGCTAATGTTTTTTCTGCAACATTACAATATCACTGCTGCTCACTGTTCTCATTTTTTGCAGTTGGTGCAGACTTAACCTATCCTGTGCAAGTTTTGGATCAGCTTGTTCTGTGTCATTTTTAGGCAGTGGAGTCATATCTTGGCAACTGGAGGAGATACAGACATAAATCAATCTGTGAAGTGGAGTAGAATGTAGGGTCTACAACAGCCTTCTTGAAGTGGGCCTGCGGCTTATATGTTTATAATGAGTGCTGAAAGCCCAGTTTGTTGTAGTCAATGTCTGTCTGATATATTTGCAGTTACCAAATTATTAGATACAACCACTTAATAGCTTAAATTTTCAAAGTTTATGTCATTCAAGTAATCTTGCTAGTTGTTTTGTCTAAAGACAAGTAATATTCCAGTGTTTGCATTTTTAGATTGGTATTTACAGTTAGGGAGGGCACTTCTCAAAAGCCCACCAGCTCCATTCATGTACATTTTGGCACTGTCTATTATGACTCATTTGTGTCATGCCACTTAAAGCATCTTGCTGATGTGCTGCATATATGATGGATTAAGTAATAACATGCACTCCTGTAACCTGTTATATTCATGCCTACCAAAGAAAAGGCAATGCCTAGGTTACTAAATTCGTGATGCACAACCATGTCAGTCTGATCTGTTTATAACTGGGGACACACTGTGTGCACATCGCAACTGTGCCACCTGTGGTGCCAGTGGGACCTGTCTTGGGTGATGTCATCCTTCACACAGTGACTGTGCCACCTGTATGGCCAGTGGGACCTGCCTCGGGACACAGTAACTTTGTTGCCGGTAACACCAGTGGGGCCCCATCTCAGGCGATGTTGTGCTTCACATAGTGACTGTGTCCCCTGTGCCGCCACTGGGTCCTGTCTCAGGGGACATTGTCCTTCACTCAGCGACTGTATTGCCTGTACCACCCGCGGGCCTCGTCTCAGGCGGTATGGTGGTTCACACAGCGACTGTATTGCCTGTACTGCCAGTAGGACCTGTCTCAGGTGATATCGTGCTTCACATAGTGGCTGTCGCCTGTACTGCCAATGAGATCTGTCTCAGGCGATGTCGTGCTTCACACAGTGACTGTGTTGTCTGTACTGCCAGTGGGACCTGTCTCGGGCGATATCGTGCTTCACATAGTGACTGTCGCCTATACCGCCAATGAGACCTGTCTCTGGCGATGTCGTGGTTCACATAGTGACTGCCGCCTGTACCGCCAATGAGACCTGTCTCAGGTGGTATCGTGCTTCACACAGTGACTGTGTTGTCTGCACTGCCAGTGGGATCTGTTTCAGGCGATGTCGTGCTTCACACAGTGACTGTGTTGTCTGTACTGCCAGTGGGACCTGTGTCAAGCGATATCGTGTTTTACACAGTGACTGTGTCGTCTGTACCGCCAGTGGGACCTGTCTCAGGCGATATCGTGCTTCACATGGTGACTGTGTCGTCTGTGCCGCCAGTGGGACCTGTCTCAGGCGATATCGTGCTTCACATAGTGAATGTCGCCTGTACCGCCAGTGGGACCTGTCTCAGGCGATATCGTCCTTCGACGATGTCAAGTTCGAGTCGGCCAGCGTTCTGGCGCAGCTGTTCGAGCAGCAGCAGCAGCAGAAGTGGGCCAAAGAGACGCTACGACGTGCCATCGAGATTTCGCAGGGCAGCTGCTACTGGCACTGTCGCCTCCTCTTCCAGCTGGCGGTAGGTGCACGCAGTGAAGGCGAGTGGGCCTCAGCACCTCCCATATGCCGCACTAGAGATGCTGATAATGCTGCTGTCTAATAATCTCCGCGTTATGGACGTTTCTTTTTGGTGTATGCTTGAGATGCAGGCTGTTGTTCAGCCTTTCTTGCATTGAAACAGCTCGGCAGCCTGTTTCAGTCCTGCTCATTGCTCTGCTCTGTTGCAGTCCTGCTGTGTGCAATAACATGTCAAGCTGTGCCAAGTTCTTTTGATAGTGTCGTGCCGTGAACAGGCAAAGCGTTTGTATCGCGAGTGTGCGGTGCCGCAGATGTCTGACGCTCGTTGTCGCCGATATCTGATGCTCGTTTTCGCTGATGTCTAATGCTCGTCGCTGATGTCTGACGCTCGTTGTCGTTGATGTCTGACGCTCGTTGTCGCCGATGTCTGACGCTCATCGCCGCCGGTGTCTGACGCTCGTTGTCGCCACCCGCCAGCAACTGCACGCCAAGGAGAAGGACTTCGTGTCGGCGTGTAGCCTGCTAGGCGTCGGCGTCGAGTTCACGCGTATCTCGGGCGCCGGCTATACCCAGATCCTCTTCCTGCTCAGCAAGGCCATGGTGAGTAGGAGGCGGCGTCGCGGATAGTGTGCACTGCGTGCGCGCGCCTCATGCATGCGTGACACGTAGCCCCAGGTATGGTAACTGCAGGCACTGGTAGGCTGGCCCCAGATGGACCAGATTGGGAGCGAGGCGCTGTGACGGGACGTGAGCCTCGGGTGGTGAAGTCAAGCAGGCATGGTCGTAGCGCGTCAACGACGCTTAGACGTCCGTGAATGGACTAAACAGTGTATCCGGTGCAGTGCCGCCCATGCGGGCGTTCGGTGTTGGAATCTCGCGCACGTGGTCAGTGATCTGGTTTTGCGTTTGCAGGGGGCGTGGATGTTGAGCAATGCTGCTATGTCTCTGGATTCCATTCGTAGGGCTTTGATGTGTGTGTGTGGTTTGTTGTGGCCGTGGCGGTGGGCGTGGTCCGTGCACAGTGCGTGCACGAGTGTGATCTCGAAATCGCAGAGACCTGCCTCAGTGCGTTGTGATTGACGCAAGCAACCCTGAGGTGACGCGGTGCGAGCACGTGGTTTGCAATCGGTACAGGGTGCCTGCGGACTTCGACAGGGGTGTGAACTGAGGTTAGGTGCGCACGACGTCAGCATCCTCCGCGACACTGCTTGGCCGAACGTCGGGCTTCGCACCGCCTGCTTTGCTCGCGGTGCCGTCCTGATCCCATTTGTCTTGCAGGGCCACATTTGTGTTGACATTGGTCTGGGCCGCAGGATGCTCGGTCTGTTAGATTGCGTGGTGCCCACGGCCCTCCGTTACATCTGATATTTCACGGATGTTCTGTTGTTCGCCCCTGTCAGGCTGTAACCCGTCTGTGACGTCAATGTAGCGCCGGCGGTGCCGTGAAATTTCCCGCCTAAAGCCGGTGGCTTTCCTTAGAATACGTCGCTAATATTTTTATGCCGTGGTTTTCTCTTCACAGTGTTCACACTGTGTCCCGCTGACGGTATTTCTAGCGCCTGCTTAGTACGTTTCTGATAACTGACGTTGAAGTCACCGCCGGCCAGCCCGTGGTGCGGTTGACCAACCGGCGCTGGTTTCGTGCCACTGAACGCCCTTCTGCGATGTGGCTGACGACCAGCTCCTGTCTGGCTATATGGCTACTGTCTGTCAGCCTGTCCGGCCCGCGCTGTGGTTGGCGTATCGTCCCTGTCGTGACTAGGGCATCGTCCGTGTTAGGGGCTGACGTCCTCCCATCTCGCGGTTGACACATCGTCCGTGTTGTGGCTAACGCGTCGCTTGCTGGATGCAGCTGCTGCTGGCGGAGCGGAAGCTGAACGAGGCGGCACCGCTGCTGCAGCAGGGCGGCCCGATGGTGGAGGCTTGGCAGGGCAGCAACCAACAGAAGGAGTACCTCAAGGTGCGCACCGCCCCCACCAGCGCCGCGGTGTCGGCGGCTCTCGGTCGCAGGCGCACTGGTGCCGGACACGAACGCGCGTCTGTAGTAGTATCAGGGCCGGTTCGTGTGCGCCATATGCGGACACCAGACAGTTCCTTGTCTGCAGGATTCGAGTTGAACGCGGTGTAAGGCTTTGTTAGCACTCGCGTAGTCAGTGTACGGAGCCCTTGTGTGAAGAGCAGAGTGCGGAGCGAGGGTCGACGGCCGGCCGGTGTTGGTGTTGCGAGCCTCGCTGACCGCTCGCTCCGGCCCCGCCCCCTGATCTTGAGGTGTGACCGACCGGACCGGACCGGTAGCTCGTGCGGGTGACCATCGTTCTGCCGTTGCGGGTCCCGGCCGGCCGGGCTCGCGCTCTGACCGGCCCGCCCGACCCGGTCCTGACGTCTCCGCCCGAGTCTGACTTCCCCGCTCGGCCCTGACGTCTCCTCCTGAGTCTGACGTTTCCGTCCGGGTCTGACGTCTCCGCCCGGCCCTGACGTCCCCGCCCGGGTCTGACTTCCCCGCCCGGCCCTGACGTCTCCGCCCGGGTCTGACGTCCCCGCCCGGCCCTGACGTCTCCGCACGGGTCCGACGTCTCCGCCCGGGTCTGACGTCCCCGCTCGGGTCTGACGTCCCCGCCCGGGTCTGACTTCCCCTGCCCAGGCCCTGATGTCTCCGCCCGGGTCATGACGTCCCCCGCCCGGGTCTGACGTCCCCGCCCGGCCCTGACGTCCCCGCCCGGGTCTGAGGTCTCCGCCCTGGTCTGACGTCTCCGCCCGGGTCCGACGTCTCCGCCCGGGTCTGACGTCCCGGCCCGGGTCTGACGTCCGTGCCCGGCTCTGACGTCTTCGCCCGGGTCTGACGTCCGTGCCCGGCTCTGACGTCTTCGCCCGGGTCTGACGTCCCGGCCCGGGTCTGACGTCCGTGCCCGGCCCTGACGTCTCCGCCCGGGTCTGACGTCCCTGCCCGGGTCTGAGGTCTCTGCCCTGGTCTGATGTCTCCGCCCGGGTCTGAGGTCTCCGCCCTAATCTGACGTCTCCGCCCGGGTCTGAGGTCTCCGCCCTGGTCTGACATCTCCGCCCGGGTCTGACGTCTCCGCCCGGGTCTGAGGTCTCCGCCCTGGTCTGACGTCTCCGCCCGGGTCTGACGTCCCCGCCCGGGTCTGACGTCCCCGCCCGGGTCTGACGTCCGCCCGGGTCTGAGGTCTCCGCCCTGGTCTGACGTCTCCGCCCGGGTCTGAGGTCTCCGCCATGGTCTGACGTCTCCGCCCGGGTCTGACGTCCCCGCCCGGGTCTGACTTCCCCGCCCGGCCCTGACGTCCCCGCCCGGCCCTGACGTCTCCGTCCTGGTCTGACGTCTCCGCCCGGCCCTGACGCCTCCGCCCGGGTCTGACGTCCCTGCCCGGTCCTGACGTCTCCGCCCGGGTCTGACGTCGCCGCCCGGCCCGGCAGGTATTTTTCCTGGTGCTGCAGACCTGTTACTACCTATTGGCTGGCCAAGTCAAGTGCAGCAAGTCGTGGCTGAAGCAGCTGCAGCAGAGTGTGCAGGACATCTCGCAGTGGGCCGACGAGGGTGAGAGTTCAGGTTATCGCAGTGGGCCGACGAGGGTAAGAGTTCAGGACATCTCGCAGTGGGCCGGCGAGGATGAGGGTTCAGGACATTTCGCAGTGGGCCGACAAGGATGAGAGTTCAGGTTATCTGGCAGTGGACCGACGAGGGTGAGAGTTCAGGATATCTCGCAGTGGGCCGGCGAGGATGAGAGTTCAAGACATCTCGCGGTGGGCCGACGAGGGTAAGAGTTCAGGACATCTCGCAGTGGGCCAGCGAGGATAAACGTTCAGGACATTTTGTATTGGAACACTGTGATATGAAATACAAATATGAATGCTCAGGTCCGCCTCGGTTGTGTTCGGTAATGAGAACTAGACAATATGTTCGGGTCTCCTGGGTGCCACCAGCTGGGCTATTCATGCGAAATGCTCCACTTATGTTCCTTAGAAAAAAATCAACGTCATCGGTGGCTCTCGCACGCACATCACCTTTTAGCCAGCCATCAACCGCACAGAACTGGCAAGGTACCCACTGTATTCCCCCTGGATATGCCCCATTATTGTCTGCCCAGTAGCTAGCCACGGCTACTGAATCTGTGTCCTGACCCGTCAGCACGCCCTAGGCTCGTGGGGACACAACCGCTGCACACCGCAGCCCGTCTGATCCAGCCCGCTGTTGGACCGTTGCACTATCGCCCCTTGCGTCCTTGGCGCCCGCTCCCTGTGGTATGTGTGGCTGTATATGTGTGTGTGTGTGTGTGTGTGTTTATGGCGGGCTGTGGGCAGTCGCCGGCGGGTGTAGATAGCTGAGCGCGGCCTTCTCTGTTCACAGACAGCGCGCCACCCTCGGCAAGCACGGGCGACATGTTCATGTGGATGCCGAGGGAGGAGCTCTGCGTGGTGGTGTACCTGGTGACGGTCATGCACTCGATGCAGGCGGGCTACATGGACAAGGCGCAGAAGTACTCGGACAAAGCGCTCACGCAGATCAACCGGCTGAACGGTGAGGCCACGACCTCACCCCCTTCCCCCTACGCCTGCTGGACTTGGGCCGGTCGCTCCGGCGGGACGGCCGAGCATGGCGTCGATTGGAGGAGTCGAGGGCGGTGGGGGTTCCGGCCAGGGGCAAGTTTTGGCACGTGGTGGTGACTGACAGTAAAGCTATCAGATGTGCGAGCCATGCTATGTGAGATGCGCCTGTCGCGGCAGCGCTTGAAGCGGGTGGCCGCCTACAAAGTACAGCTTGGCGTGGCGCTCGCTAGATGTCGCCGCTAAGGTGCTCGTTCCACCGGCAGCGACGGCGGACCGGCCGATCCTGCACACGTTCCAGCTGATGATCCTGGAGCACATTGTGCAGTGCCGTCTGGTGATGGGTGACAACGCTGGTGCCATCCAGGAGATCGCCAGCCTGTGTCACATCTGCCGTCAGCGGCCGTCGCTGCTCACCGGCCACAGGTGAGCCGGCGACCGGGCGCTCTGGGCCGCTCGGCGGGCCAGGCCGACTGCGGGCCGGGCTGGCGCGGTGGTCTGGTGCGTGGAAAGACGGCGTTCGTACTGCCGGGAGGTTGTTGTTTTTGCAAACGTGTGCTCAAGTCGTGGGCAGTTCAGGGTCTGCTTCCATTCATGTCACGCTGACATCGACGGGCTTTGCGCTCTTTAACCACCACCTTGACCTGGGGGGGGGGGGGGGGGTGGGGTCATGCTGACAAATGACCGTCGTGCGTCCCCCCTGCGACATGGCCCGCCGCTCGTCGTACACTGCCAACGTCGCTCTGCGAGACGATTGGCTCAGCTGAGCGCGTGCGTGATGTGACGGCGTCACCTGTGTGTGGCAGGGCGCAGATCCACACGGTGCTGGGCCTGTACGCCATGAGCATGAACTGCATGGAGCCGGCCGAAGCCCAGCTGAACGCCGCTCTCCGGGTGAGTGACGACACGACGGCCGCGGACGAGCCCGTCGGGACCCGGCACACGTCCCTGCGCCCGTCCCTCCTTACGTCCCCCTCTGTGCTTCCCTCCGTCCCCTTTCTGCACCGCCGTTCGTCCCTCCAGCCGTCATTCCGTCCCTCCCTCTGTTCTTCCCTCGGTCTGCCCTTCGTTCCTCCGTCCTTTTCTCAGCGCGGTTCCTCCCTCAACCCCACCCCCATCCCTTCGCCCGTCCGCCGTCCCTCTTCGTGCACGTGCGGTTCGGTGTCTCCCCACCTCGGCCCCGTACCGACTCGGAGGCAGTGCCCGTCTGATTTCCGACATACGGGTGTCTGCAAAGCAGCGCAGTCTCGCGCTGCGTTCGCCGCCTCCAAAATGGCCGAGCGATCGGTTCGTAAGCAGTTTTGGTGCGGTGGGTGACGGGGAGGTGAGGGTTGTGCTGCAAAGGCTGTCCCGGGGCATTCCGTTGGTGGTTGTTTTGTGTGATGGCTATCGCCCTGCAGCATTGGCCTGTTTTCAGGGAGGGTAGCACAATGAATGGACGCGGATTTCCCGTGGTCTGTTGTTAACGCTTCACTGTGCGGCCTGTGGCGGTTTCCGTCTTTTGGTGGGCGTGTGCTGCCGACAGCGTTCCTGCAGGCGAAACTGCGCCGTATGATTTACGTAATGGAAAGTACCAACTTAACTGCGTACTGCACATGTTAACCCTCGCGCCATCTTTGATGTCACTGAGTTTAGGTTTCATGTGATCATTTAGCTTCCATGCGTAAGCTGTGTAAGCATATGTAAGTCGTTTGCTCCAGCTTTGTCTAGGCGACTAGTGCTCATAAGATATTCGTCTTAAATTTTCAAGTGTTTTTATCTCCTAAGAGCTCGATGAGGCTGGTCCAACACGGATCTTCCGGCTAATCAGCCCAGGTGTCGTCTTTTTACGAGTTTCAGACTAGGCGGGCCTGTTCCTCTCGTAAAGTTTGGATTGATCCGACAGCTGCCAGCCTCAGCATGGATGAAAAATGAGCGTCGGCTTGTCCTCCCGATGGCCGTCGGTCCCCATCTTGCCCATACGGGACCGCTGTGCAGCCACCCTCCCGGACGACACCGAGGGTGACGTCAGTACCCAGCGTAGACAGCAGCGGGCGCTTGGTGGCCGTCCCTCAGCAGTCTCCGCCAGCGCCGGCTGGCCCGCCCGGCGAGCGGCCGCCAGCGGGCGCCCGCCAAGCCGCGTTTCGGGACCGGGACCGGCCGTCCAGAGGCGCCGGCCCGCCCGCTCCGTACCGCTGCACACTCGCCGACGACAGGCCCGGCCAGCCCTTCAACTGAGGCGTCATGTCCACCTGCCAGGCCGGCCTTGTTTGCGGCGTGTTGTGTCACGGTTCTCGGGAGCGCTGTCGCCCGCGAGCGGATGAAGCCGGCCGGACGGGTCGGCGGCGCGGGTGGTCTCACTGCGGCGCTCGCCGTGCTGGGCGACGCGCCGCGCCGCTGCCGGACGGACGGGCACGGGCGGGCACGGGCGGCTGGTCGGCGCGCCCACCGTCCCGGCGCGCCTCGGAAACTCCGCCGCTGCCTGCGAGAGTGCGACAGCGCGCCGCTCAGCCGGCCGCAGGGGCTCCAGGCGGATCTGGGGCGTTCCCACTTGACTTTTCCATCCCCTTCACCCCCTTCAGCCCCCCCCCCTCCCCGCCCCGCCGATGCTGGGAGGCTTTGTCGGGTGGGGTGTAACTTATGCTGCCGAACGGGACGAATTGACGAGCGGATCGTGAAAGGGCGGCATGGACATTCGCCGTCTCCGGGCCAGGGTCGAAATGTTTTATTTCTCTAAAGGTTCTCACACCTTTAGAAAGTTGCTTTTTAGCATTGTAGTGGATGGCATGTTTTGGTCGGGTTTCCAAAGTTCAAACCAATGCAAAAGGTATCATAAATGTACTACAACTTGTATGATATTCATTTTATGATCCTTTATTGTTCGGGGTAAAGGTCACCCACCACCTGTGCGCTGTCGGCAACGGAATCTTTCTACCCGTTATTCCTGAGTCAGGCATGGCTCAAGAATAACGGGTAGATGGATTCCGCTGTTGAAAGCCCGCTGGTGACGCGGACAGTGGACACCTGCATTCACTGATGTAGTATAGCCTGATCCCGTTAAATTTAACGACCCTTTATTGGTAGTGAAGGTGAGCTGTCGCCAGCGAAGTCTACCCGTTAATCCTGAGCCAGACACGTTGACGGAGCCAATTTTGGTGTGGGCTCCGCGAAGCCACAATTTTCCTCCGAAGGTCCGTGGTTTGGATTTTTCTTTGAGCCATTTTCACGGCTGGCTTCGTCTTTGACTCCATCATTTTAAACGGTTGACTTCGGCTTTGGCTTCTGCTTTACCATCGTTAACGGACGGCTCTGACGTCGGCCTCAAACACATCGCATTATCGACCCGGCTTGGGCTGCAGCCAAAACGACCTGGCGGTTATTCTCAGGACCTTTAAGTTGCCGCGGAACCAAGGTCTGGAAAATTATCAACCACCCTGTAAAAGCATGATAGTGTTTGGGGGTCCCATACAGTATAAGCAGACGCGAGAATGGTTGCCTTCTCAGAACAGCGGTGTACGCTAGATTCGGCTGCAGCTTCGTTCTCATGATTTTAAACTCACGGTTAAGCCTTGACTCGCGTTTACGACGCTGTTCGAAGCTTGAGCTCGAAGCCGCTGATTTTGTTTTCATCTTTGCGTGCGTAAGGTTCCGGCTTCGCGGCATAAGGTTCCGGCTTCGCGGCATAAGGTTCGGGCTTCTCGGGATAGGGTTCTGGCTTCGTGTGCGGAAGGTTCCGGCTTCGCGGCATTGAGTTCGAAAACACCGGCCTCGGAATGGGCTTTATATAAAAACGGGTAAGTTGACTTTAGCCCCGGCTCCACAGTTTCAAGCTTGAAAACCGCGGCTTCGACTTCGGCTTCATGTCATTGTCTCGCCTGGGATTCGGCTTCGAAGTTGTAAGTCTGGCTTCGTCCTGATCCCTGTTCTGAACATTAGAGTAATATTTCTAAGTCATGTTTCCAGTTTGGTAGAGCTTCGGGTATTTGCATTGATATGCGAAGAGAACTCGGGACTGATTTCTAGTTTTGGAATGGGCTGCGCACAAATGGAAATGGAACGCACGAAATGGAAAAGGCTGGCATATGTATTGGTGTCACAGGATACGGGGCTGGTTTGCTGATGTCCGCGGTTGGTTACGATCGGCTGACGCAGTCAGGAATCTGGTTTGTGTTCAATATCATTTGCAGTTCAGAGAATGAAACTCAACAAATAAAGGCATCAAATTTTGGCGAACGTTATATATTTATATGTATATATATATATATATATATATATATATATATATATATATATATATATATATATATATACATATATCTTAAAAAATGTGTGTGATATTGGCATATGGCATTATCAGTGTTGCATTTGTTCTCAGCAGCCCTGTATCTTCAAACTGAAATTCTCGTGCGCGGGGCTGAAGGACTAGCGTGGGAACGTCTTCAGAGAACGGGAAGTGAGGATGGAGAACCTCGGTGGAAACGGGTGTAGGGGTGGACATGACACCTCGGTGCGAGTGAGCGCTGTCCGCCGTTGGGCTGAACAGCGTCGGTCCACGCTGGCGTGCGGGCGAACCCTGGCAGACCCGGCGGGCCCGGCGCGGTAGTCCCCCCGCCTCTGCGACGGGCGGCGGGGCGTCGTGGCTGCTGTCGGGTCTGCCGCAGTAGCCTTCCTCCCGCCTCTGCGACGGTCGGCGAGGCGTCGTGGCCGCTGTCGAGTCTGGCGCAATAGTCTTCCTCCTGCCTCCGCGACGTTCGGCGAGGCGTCGTGGCCGCTGTCGGGTTTGGCGCAGTAGCCTTCCTTCCGCCTCTGCGACGGTCGGCGAGGCGTCGCGGCTGCTGTCGGGTCTGGCGCAGTAGCCTTCCTCCCGCCTCTGCGACGGTCGGCGAGGCCTCGCGGCTGCTGTCGGGTCTGGCGCAATAGCCTTCCTTTCGCCTCTGCGACGGGCGGCGAGGCGTCGCGGCCGCTGTCGGGTCTGGCGCAATAGTCTTCCTCCTGCCTCCGCGACGTTCGGCCAGGCGTCGTGGCCGCTGTCGGGTTTGGCGCAGTAGCCTTCCTCCCGCCTCTGCGACGGGCGGCGAGGCGTCGTGGCCGCTGTCGGGTCTGGCGCAGTAGCCTTCCTCCCGCCTCTGCGACGGTCGGCGAGGCGTCGCGGCTGCTGTCGGGTCTGGCGCAATAGCCTTCCTTTCGCCTCTGCGACGGGCGGCGAGGCGTCGCGGCCGCTGTCGGGTCTGGCGCAGTAGCCGTCCTCCCGCCTCTGCGACGGGCAGCGGGGCGTCGTGGCCGCGGTCGGGTCCGGCCTTATCCGTCAGGTGTACCGCTCTAAAGGGCACAGTTCGCGCCGCAATGGACGCCCACGTCGCGTCCGTTTCACGGCGCGGTTTTTCTGATGCCTTCAAAGCGGATCTCAACGATCACAACGCGTCAAAACGGATCTCAGCGATCGCTTGGGCTCAGTAGCCTTTAGTCATTGGCTCGGACCTGCAACTTTTGCTAGGAAGGGCATTGTTGCGTCGTGATCCGATGGTGGCGTGATAATGACGAACTTGACGGCGGCGCCAGTGATGAGCCCGACTTCTGGTGGATCACGCGGTGTCCACCCCACTTCCGACTGGCGGCGCGCATTTTGAGTTAATTCCGGTTCCGAGTCAAGGATATAAGCCCATTTCGGAGTCTCGATTCCGATGGAGTCCACTATGGTAACAGCACGTAATACAAGTCAGAAAAGTACAAATATCATGGGAAGAATATTGTGATGCGCTCAGTGCTGCGTGTGGTCTACGTAAAGAACTCGGAGGAAGAATTATTTTTAGCTACATTTCTACTCCAGTGGTTCCAGCGCATGACCGGGATTACTTGAAATCTGGAATGTTTTACAAGTCTCATAGTGTCAACGCAAATTAAGATATTATTATAAGTCGTTGCCAATCGTTGTACAGAAACTGATAAGCACAGGGTAAAGCGCAATGCATCCTTTGGATATTGTGGATATCAGGACCCAAGATGGTCGTGCTGACCAAACAGCAAACTGATGAGATGACAAGCTGTTGAATGAGTTTATGCCAGAACACAGTTAACGGAAAAAAACAAGAATCGATAATCCGAAGCCATTTGCAAGAAACCCCTTCGGGCCGTTTGGGCTGCTCTGTATATATATATATATATATATATATATATATATAATATACACATATATATATACATATATATATATATATATATATATATATATATATATATATACTGTGTGTGTGTGTATGCATTATAATATATATTTATTATATCAGTCAAAATATTAAAGTAACAAATAACCTACAATGAAGTAAAGTGCACGAGGGACATGGAGAAGAAGGTGGTAGAAGGCGCAAGCGATAGAGTGGCGGTATCCCAACGGCTTCGTGCAAGGAGAGGTCGATATATTTTATCACTCACCCACGAATTACTCCTGGGGCAGCACCGGAGATGCAAAGGAACGAAGGGCCCGACAACTGGGAGTTAAGATTAATCTAGTAAAAGAAGCATTCGCCGTTTTTGCAGGGGCACGTTGTCTGTCGCAGGTGCAGTAGATGCCATCATAGACGACAAAGCACGCTTAAGCTACCGTGGAAGTGATATGCCCTGCACTGTTATTTTTTGCGCTGGTTTTGGCGTTCACACCCCAAAGCATGTCAACTTGAAGCCCCAGAGAAAAATCCTAAGGAGTGTGGATAATCTTCAGTTCTCATGAACTACCTGGCCTGTAGCACGTTGGCCTTTTCAGCAGTAGTCTGGTCGCCGGCAACGGCGACCTCTGCAAGGAACGGTGCATTAAGGCGAAAAGGGTGCCGTTTTATGCGAAATATCCGCGGACGAGCGTCGTATGCTCCGGCCAGACTTAGCAACGGCGCCGCGGGCACGACAGCTGCGCCTCTCAAGGAGCTGGCCGTGCCGGGCATCAAAGGTGTGCAGCACCACCCTAATACGCCACAACCGCGTCCGATGGAGGGTATCGGGGGTATCATGAAACAAGAGTTGGTTGGCCACACCGGACTTTAAGCGGATCACCGGTGGATGACCGGATCCACGGATCCAGAGGTGCTGCTCAGGTGATCGGACGCTACTCCGCGCGCGTGCGTCAGGTTGACCGACGTGGCATTTGGTCTGCTTACTGGAAACAAGACGTAGTGCATTATTGCGGCTTCAAAATAATGTTCGTGGTGTGTATTTCTCGATTTTGTAATTGTAAGAATCTGTGCCACTTTCAGTTGTGTACCGATTTCAAGCAATCACCCGCTGCGGGTCACAGAACTGTAGCCCCGGCTTTGATTTTCAATGAATTATATTCCGCTTTGGCTCAGGAAAGATGGGTGGATTCTGGGTAACCCCTGGCTCCACCTAAGATCAAGCACATGTCTGGTGATAGCATGATCTACATACCTCGACGCCGGCATTGGACACTATAGTTAGGCAGGTTTAGAACATTGGCTTCGTTGGCTTGCTTTGGTGTTTTATATTCGCTACCTGTGCTGAGTTGCGCGTGTTTGCCATGCGACTACTTCGTGATCCGTCGTGACCTGCGGCTGACCTCCACTGACCCACCGTGACCTTCTCCACGTTGCAGACGTCGCAGGAGCGCGAGCTGTGGACGTTCGTCAACATGAACCTGGCGATCGTGTACCTGCGCATGGGTCGGCAGAGCGACTTCCTGGGCCTGCTGGACCGCATCAGCCCCGAGTCATTGCCCTCGCAGTCTCACAGCCTGCGCGCCGCCAGCTACTACGTCCAGGGTCTGCACGGCTTCTTCCAGCGCATGTACAACGACGCCAAGTACGCACCGGGACTGGCCGGGGTCGCAAGGGGGCGGGCGGTGGCTGGGTGCAGGCCGTCCGATAGGGACGGGTGTGGCGCGGCACGACGGCCCCCGGCCAGTGTCAACGCGCCCATGGGAGCCAGGGGTGGGACGTGAAGTCACCCGTCCGTGTTGACTGGAGCACTCCTCCGCCACGCCGTCAGCCTTCAGTCGCGCCATGGCATGACCCGCTGGGCTGGTGACACTGCCTCACTGTGGGATGGTTGTTGGCCCTGTCGGTGCGAACCGGGGCCGGCCGGCTGGCCTGGCGTACTCCGTGTCTGCGCCTGGTGCTCCGTCTGCCGCTGGCGCCGTCCACCCCCGCGTGGGTCGTGCTCTGTGGGCCCTGTCCCGGCCACCGTCCGTCCCACACCGACACCGCCTGTTCGTCCGGCAGGCGGTATCTGCGGGAGACGCTGAAGATGGCGAACGCCGAGGATCTGAACCGTCTGACTTCGTGCTCGTTGGTGCTGCTCGGCAACATCTTCCTCTCGCTCGGCAACAACCGCGACAGCTTCAACATGGTCACGCCGGCCATGCAGCTGGCCAGCAAGATCCCCGACATCAACATCCAGCTGTGGGCGTCGGCCGTGCTCAAAGGTGGGGACCGGGCGTGTCTCCGCCGCCGCCGCCGCCGGGGATTCCCGGCCGCACCGTACGTTCCCGGACGGCGAGCCTGTCCCGGGCGGGGCTGGCAGGGCGTGGACCATTGACGGAGCGAGCCGGGACGTGGCGGGGCGGCGGCGTGCACCCCTCACACATCTCGTGAAAGTTTGCCGTGTAGTAACGCGATGGCTTTATGTAAAGGGCGTGGGGCGCGCCGTCCTCACAGGCCGTTCCCACGCCGCTGGCGTGCGAGCGGCCGCCGGCCCGCCCTGGCTGCGGCGACGGCGTCTCGCGTGTCCGGCGGCACAGGCTCGGTATCGGCCGGCGCCGACACTGATCGGCCGCCGTGGGGCGCAGTACCGCTAGCCGCGTCTGGCCGCGCGAAGGACGGCACGTCCGGCGGTGAAAGGCTGTCTGGCGAGCTGGCGGTGGCCGGCTGTCGCGCTGTCCGGCGAGCCGCGCCGGCGCTCCGCAGACTGTCCGATCTCCGGCTGATCCAGGCGCCGCGTGCCGGCCCGGCGCGGACCTCCCGCGGCTCGCGGCTCGCTGCTGCCTCCCGCTGACTCCCTCTGGTCTGGGACACGACCACGACCTTTCGCTAACCTCCGCCGGCTCGTCGTGACCTTTCGCTGACTGGTCGTTGCTCGACGTCGCCTGCGCATCTCCACCGGCTCGTCGTGACCTATCGTGACCTTCCGCTGACTACCTGGTCGTGGCTCGGCGTCGCCGGCGCGTCTCCGCCGGCTGGCGGCCGGACAGTCCTCTGCTGGCAGTCGTCCCACGGCGACCCGCGCGACCTCGTTCCGCCTGGCTCGGGCAAAGGGGGCGTGCAACCGAGCTGAGCGCCCAAAAAACGGCGCCCCGCTTCCTGGTGTGGCGAAGAGCCTGCAGGTGTTGCTCGAGTGAGAGTCACGCGGAACGTCGGTTTGCGGTGCGGGATGTCGTGCGAGACTCTGCAGAACGGGTCGAACGCCGGCGGGGAGGGCTGAAGCTCGGCCGGCGATGGCATCGGACACAGGAAGGCGTGTTTTTGTTGCCTCGCCTTCTGGTTAGTGGAGTTTTTCGTCGGCCGGCGGCTCATTTCCTGTGCAGCAGCGCCCAGACGTCGGCAGCTTAGAGGACGGATTGTCTGTTCTCGTTAATACGCTGCGGTGGCCTGTTGTGCTCCGCTGCTGAACCCAGACTCGCAACCTATGGCATTCTGCAGAGGTGTACCATCAAACGTGCACCAAAAAAGGCAGACATTGTCTGCGAATTAGGATCAAACAAGGAAGGTACCTTCCAGGAATGCGCATTAGGAGCAGACGAGGAAGGTGACATCCAGGAATGCGCATTAGGAAGAGACAAGGAAGGCAACGTCTAGGGAAATTTGGCGCGATTCTGAGTCATTTCCATGCGCGCGCGAACGTGTCTTCGTAGATGTGTGGAAAGGCCTTTGTTTTTCCGATCTCTCCCGTTATGAAGGAGCATGTGAAGAGTTCGTTACGCCCATGCTGTCTGGGCTCCACTGACGCCACACCAGATGATTTTGGAGCCACCGCCGAGTGTGACCCAGCGGTCCGCCGGACAGCGCAGCCCACGCGCTGCGCGCCCAACCCAACAGCACGTGCTGTGTCAACTGAAGCTAGAGGTGGCAGACTGTTGACTGGGCCTTGTTCCGTGTTCGCGTGTTGGAACTAACACTGACTGGCGTCTAGGTGCTTCGCTGATGATGGCTGGTGGATCACGTTCCAAGCAAATGCGCAGTTGTTTCAACATGGGTTCCCCGTCATTCGGCAAATCGCATGCCGTATGTGATATGCACCTGGCTGTTTAGAAAAACGTCGGACATTGTATTATCCTCATTTGTAAAATATCAAGCAGTTACTGGGCGTCAGGTGTGTCTTCTGTTTCTTCTGCAAGGCTCTCAAAGTCAAGATATCAAAGGTCCGCTGGAGCAGTGGACGTGATGTTCGTAAGCCGATCAGATCCATTGCGAGGTAATCTTGACATGGTATCGTATGGCTTACCATATGCCCGTTATGAAAGTCCTGATGAGTCCAGTGGTGTGGGAAGGCGGCCAGGATTTCGTTCGAATGCTGCCAAAGCATTTGGTGGGTGTGGTCGACATGGGAGCGCCCACCAGATCAGGACCTGGAGGCACTCGTGACGAACGAATGCGGCTGAACATTGGTAAATGCGCAGTGCAGCTGTAGTCATTCTACCCGCTGTGAACGGGTAGACGTTAGTAAATGGTGTAATGCAGTTGTCAGTCTACCCGCTGTGAACGGGTGGATGTAAATAAATGGTACAGTGCAGTTGTGGTCAGTTTACCCGCTGTGAACGGCTAAACGTTAGTAAATGGTGCAGTGCAGTTGTGGTCAGTCTACCCGCTGTGAGCGGGAGCGGTCCGTTTCATTCTGTTTATCATCAGGGAAACCCGGTAACAGCGTCACGTGATTTCTGTTAGAAGTTCCGTACCCTATGAGGCCACGTCACGATTCCGTTGCAAAGTCCCCATTGCCTTATCCATTGGATGAGGCTATAAATGGATCCATGGCATTTTCCCTCACAAAGTGGCACAGTCGTTCCGTATTTCCGCGTCCTCAAGGCAGTGTTGATCCCCTATTTCGAGTTCGAGGGACGTTAATGCATGGTGTTTGGATTTGATTGAATCAAGAGTACTCTAGTCAGCGCGTCGAATATGTTGATATTCTCTCTCTTTGGTTCGGAGTGTGTTGAAGCAAGGCAGTTGATAAGAAATTGTCATTCAACAGCCTCCAGCTTTTTCCGGCGAACTTAACGTGCGTAGACGAGTGTCATTTGTATGAGTAACCAGTACTGCGTGATGGACCGCTGTGTGACTTTTCGCTGCATTACCCTCGCGCTACGTCATTCGAGGCTGGCGCGGCTGTGGCCTGTCCCTGACATGCATACGGCCTCTGTGATCGACAGATCTGTACCGCTCCTGCGGCGAACACGCCAAGGAGAGCGCCGAGCTCCAGAAGCAGGCCAGCTTCTCGCAGACGCTGGTCAAGGACCAGTTCGCGGCGTCGCGCTCCCCCCATCACGCTCTGTTGCGCTGGACGGACGGCCCGCTGCCCAGCGAAGCCGGCTCCTCGCAGCCGACGGCCGCCACCAGCGGCGCGCCGACGCCGGCGCCGGCCGTCACCGCCGCGCCCGCCACGGTGACCGCGTCCGGCCCGGCGCCAGCCGCCGCGTCCGCCGGCGTGCCCCTGCCGGCCTCGGTGGCGACCCGGCCGCCGGCTCCAGCGCGGGCGCCCGCACCGGCCCCGGCGCCGGCGCCGGCGCCGGCTCCCACCCCCGCCCCCGCCCTCGCCCCAGCGCCGACTCCGGCTCTCACCGTCGTCCCCGTCCCTGCGCCGGCACCAGCTCCAGCGCCAGCTCCAGCTCCGGCTCCGGCGCCAGCTCCACCTCCGCCTCCGGCTCCGGCGCCCGTGGCGGCGATGAGCGGGTCTGCGCCGGCCGTGGCGGCAGCCTCCATGCTGGGCGCGGCCGTGTCGCTCTCCGGCTACCAGCCGGCTGGCTACGCGGCATCGGCCAGCCCGGCGGCCGCCGGCGCCTACGGCGTGATGGACGTACATCACGGTCGGCACCCGGCGTCGACGGCGGCGGCGCACCACCATGGCGTGGCGGGTCTGGTGCTGCCGCCGCACGGCGGCGCCGGCTACCCGCAGGCGCATCATCACCCGCTGGCCGGCCTTCAGGCCGTCTACCCGCCGGCCGGGCCTGGCATGATGTCGCTGCATCACTACGCCGGCCACCACTACCCGGCGGCGCCCGACGGCGGCGGCGGCATGCACTGAACGCCGCGGCCGGCCGCGCGCCGGCCCGCACTTGTGATAGCAGTACAACTCACCGCGCCGCGCTCCGGGCGGGGCGGGCTCGCCGTCCCGCCCCCGTTCCCGCCCCCGGGCGGCGGCGGGGCCACGGACGCGCCGTGGCGCGCGGTTAACGTACCGGCCGCGCCGCTGGCCGACCCTTATTTCGCCGGGATTGTGTATTTATTCGTCTTGTATGCTTTTTATTGGAGTGCAACAGTCGGTAGTGTTGAGTATGCAGCAGATTGTTTTATGTATAGATTTTTAGCTCATAATAAAACCATGAACATCTCGGCTGGGCTTTAACCGCAGCGCTGTTTTCCGAAAAGTCTCGAAACGGGACGCGACCCTGACCTACCCGTTCAGCGAACTTATCCGTCCTGCTCGGCGAGATCTTCGCGGAGTCTGCTATGCCGCGGTGCATGTACTCAGAATGATCGCACCGACCGGAGACAGCACTAGAAGAAGTCGGCCAAAGCCGGCGTGGCTGAAAATCGATGCGACGGGCGCCGGCGGCAGTCCAGGCTTCGCCCTGTTTGCTGATGACGGCTCTGTGGGCTGTATCAGGGTCCGCTGCACGGAGGGAGTTCGGACGACCGCGGGGCTCCCGGTGCCAGCCGCGCGCAGCGGAGCCACTCCCCAGCGCGGCTGCCTTCCGGCCACCCTGCCGCCTTCTTCCCCGAAGACGAAGAGGGCGGTCATCGCCCGCCGTGGCCATGTGCTCATTGTCCCATGATTCGGTGGACGCTGCTCCGGGCGAATGACAGATGCGAGCTACGGGCGAGTGCCCCACAGTGTTCGCGCCGTGGCGAGGTGGTGGTGGAGCCGTTATTCGCACTGCTGGCCTGTGCTGGCGACACTTCTGGCCCAGGTGTGGACATTTTTGGTCTTCGGTTTTTCACCGCAGCCCCTCCCCCTCCGAAAAAAAACAAGTGAAAAGTCCTGCGGGCTGTAAGTCAATGTCCTTTTTTGACGTTTACACCCGTGAAAAATTTTGACCCGAGGCCGTATAAGGTGGCTGATCAAGGCCTATAAACATAGACCTGCAACGCCTGTACATGTAAGCCTACCAAACTTACAATTCTTCGATTCCCATCACTTGGAACTCTGGCGCTTGCCTTATCTGACTTATGGGGCAGCTTCAAATGGTGCTTGGATATCTCTGAAGTGCATCAGTGACTTAAAAGCACACTCGCAAATACAAGCCAGCCGTGAAAACGTGTTCGTAAGTTGGGAGAACGAGGTGATGTTAGGCCTGTGCAGGCGCACCACTATGGAACGTTGACCTGACCTGATCCGGCCCCTGCCGAAAGGTTGAATAGGTATCAATGGGCGCCTCATGATCTCAAGTCTTGATATTCGTTACTTAGGCCCCATTTGTCTCGGTTAAACTGTATTGTGTGTGTTCAGATTTACATGCAAGTGCTTACACATTTTATGGTGACTTCAAAAGCTTCTTGAGGTCATACACTTAAGCCGCTTTCAACTTGTTTCCGGTAGAGCTTCTCGCCAGCATTTTCACCTTTTGCATGCGCTTTTCTGAGCGCCGAGATTCTGGGGCGTCCAAACGTCCACCTTCGCACGGGCCTTGCCAACGAGCAACCCAGCTTGACTAGCGCGGATCGACCGGCCAGATGCGGAGCCGCGTTCTGTACCTGAGCCGTGTCCGGATCAGGCCGCGCAAACCACAGCCGGCCTTGTGGGGGTCACCGGCAAGGAGCTCACGGCGGGATGCTCTCCCAAGCCCACGCTGGCTTCCGTGCTGGCGGATTCTTCCAAAACCGTAAAGTGGCTGGCGCCTGGGTGTGAGGATGAAATGCGGTTTCTTGCCATTTCATGCCGCCCCGGAGATAGCCAAAATCATGGTCGGGACATTCGGCTCAGCGAGCGGCTGGCGGCTCCCCTGACGGTACCACGTGTGTCGACGGGTGGTGCCCACGTGTGTCGACGGGTGGTGCCCACGTGTGTCGACGGGTGGTGCCCACGTGTGTCGACGGGTGGTGCCCACGTGTGTCGACGGGTGGTGCCCACGTGTGTCGACGGATGGTACCACGTGTGTCGACGGGTGGTGCCCACGTGTGTCGACGGACGGTGCCCACGTGTGTCGATGTACTGCGACCTCTTCCCAGGATTCCGCCCGCTAAAAAGCATCTACTGAGAACGAGTGCGTATCACGCGATCAGCGTGGTGAGAGCAGGCATGTGACTGCTAATGAGCGAACGCTGCACCCACGAAGGAATCACCGATGCCATCGTCACGTTGGGTAGGCATAACAAGCCGTAAAAAACATGTTGCAATCGTAAACATTGCAACACTGGCCAGAGTAAGATCCCTGAGTGCCTGATAGAGCGACGCCGCGGTAGAGTGCATTGGATGAGCGGTGATGCATTATTTATCGTGCTAAAGCCCACGGCAACCAACCGGGCACTGCAACCCATTCTCGAGCAACTTTGTCGTTATGCGGGTGAATTCCAATGAAATATATGCGGGAACATTCGAGATAACAAATATGTCCATCGAAGTGACCCTTGTATACCTGCGTCTCGTGTAGAAAACTGGTGTGCGTGCGCATGCCGTTCGCATGTAGATATTTAAGAGCGCGGTACCCTGTCGTAGTTGCGAAATTTGGAAAGAAAAAGCGCATGCATGCTTACAAGATTTTTTAACGCATTGTTCACAGGACTCACGCAAGCTACGAAGAATGCGTGCGGTCATTCGCAGAGGTTCCTCAGGCATGCAGGGTTTGCAGCTTGAAAATCGATATACACTCACGATCTGGCGTGCAGCGCGTACTGGCGATTTTATCGGACTGGCCATTCATCAAAAAAGATCGCCGATTCCTGGAAATATCTGACATTCCATGTGACCGCACCTGATTGTGTCTTCGGCGCTGAACCTGTCCGACTTCAGCACCGAAAGCATCTTGCTCAAACACCTACGAAGAGACGACTTTTTCAGTGACGACGTTAGCACCGTGCTATCACCAGCGCAATCTCGCCATCTACTATCTCCGCTGTCGGACCCGTCGCCGTGACACCGTAGCTGGTCTGGCGGCGTGTCAGGCAGGCCGCGCGGTCCCAGCACCGGCTCGGTGCACCAGTCCTGGCCCGGCGCGGGAGGCTCCGCCGTCCGCCGGCGCCGGGTCTGCCGGCCGCCGCCCTGGCGGCCAGGTGGAGACGCGGCGACGGACCGCGTCCGCCGTCCAGTCGGCGCCAGATACCTGGCGAGGGGGAGGGGCGGGCAAGTCACCGAGCACGGCTTCAGGCTGGTCGCCGGCTTCTGCGGCGTTTCGGTTCATGGATGTCCGCGGCCGTCCCCCCCCCCCCCAACCGGCGGCGGCGGGCGGCAATGCGGGGGGGGGGGGGGAGGGGCGCCGTCGGTTGTCCTGTGTCGCCAGGAGGTCATAAATCACTATATTTATGGTGGTGTTCGCGCGGCGTCACCCCGCGTTCACACTAACGATGAGCCGGCTTACCGGCGACGACCGCGGAGAGGCCGGCAGGGCGACTGGATCGGAACACTCAACCGCCGTCTGCCGCGGATTTTTCGCGTTTAGCAATCAGTTTTCTGGTAACTAAAAAGAAGATCCAGCAAGTTACCACTGCATGCGCTACTGGGCTTAATCTTCGATGAGCCACACAAAGCATGTCTCAACGTTTATCGACTTATGGATCGGCGGTTGATTTACCGCCGTTTTGTCGTCGTTATTCAGCGCTCCCGCTGGTCAGTAGGCTGCGGCCGGATGTCGACCCCAGCCGTAAACGACAGCCGTGCAAGCTGCATGCATGGTTTGCCGACGCTACATAGTGCTGGTACAAGGCGACACTTGTGTGTTCCCAAATGTCACCATGCACTGCCGACAAACAAGTCCGTTTCTCGAGAACTCCTGAGACGTAACGGTTTAAGCCTCGGAACCGTTACGTAGGGCGATGTAACCGAACATCCTACGCACCCAATAAACGCCCTTGAAGGAGATAATCTTACGTGGTCAAAAAGACTTCGTGCTAATGCTGTGGATATGACGAGGAATTTCCGACCATCCAAAACCAATATAACTCGCCGCTGACAACTTCGATCTGATCTCCGCCAGCAGGCAGAGCCATTCACAACGACCAGGAGGCTCACCCATTGCCCAAGCCGTCACGCAACGCTGCGCCTCCGTTCGCACACTGCGCGGGCATCTCTGTGGGTCACATCCGCGCAGTGGGCCCGTTGGCCCCTGTTCCTGGTACTGCAGGTTTGATGCTCATGGCCTTCGAGCGGCTCTCAGCGGGCCCGTTGGCACGGAGCTCAGTACGTCGGATTACTCGTCGAAATCGTATGCAGAGGTTCGGTGTAATCAAGGCCGCACCCTGCCTGCTTAGCACACTTAATGTCCCCAACCGGTCAAGTTCAAAATCCCCTCGCTCATCAAAATTCCTGCGCCGGCACAGAATTCACAAACAGATGTTTCGAGGATCGTGCACGTGCCTGTCCTCCGGTGACGTGAGATATCGTGTGCGATATCGTGACTTACCAATGTCAGCTGTCGTGATAAAGCCTTTCGTTTCGTAGCCTGGCTGACCATGTTCGTGTTCTTAACCCCAGCACCGTGATACGAACTCCCATGTCAGCCCGACCACGCAGGTGACACGCACCTCATTGTCAACAGCTGACTGGACTCGTATAGCACGAAGGCCTGACCTGTCACGCCAAGGGATGAGTTATTGCGACGGGCCGCCAGGATAGCACGGTGGCTGTGGCGGGGTCATATATAATACAAAATTGATGCTCCTGTTGCACTTGTATCCCTAGCACCACTTATGCATAATGTATTACTAAAACACACATGTCTAACAAAACGGCGCCTTCAGCGCGGACGCGAATGATGCGCCTTCGTATTGATCAAACCTCGTTAAAGGTAATTATGCACGGAGAACTTAAACGCAATTTTCTTAAACCCATCCGTAACTTCGTCACAGGAAAACTGACTTGATTGGTGTCAAGTACGTTTTCCTGATGCTCGCTTTTAGATATTTATACAGCCAACTGTCGCAGGTGTTGCCAACTTTTCCTTCACCAAATTGTTCGTGACATTATCGATGTTCCCCACTCCCCACCTCACCAGCTGACTGCACACTCTGAGCGCGCCCGCCGTGGTGACCTGACTGCTCTCCATCATGATTTGATGTTTGATGACTGGCGTGCGGTGTGTTCTGCATTGATGGCTGCCGTCAGCGGGACTGTTTTCTAGTGGAATGTTTTCTCAGTATTGATTTACATGCCCTTTTGAAATCAAAAGCCATTCGCGACTCTAGCGCTCTAGCGGTGAATGCCGAATCAAAAGCCCTGGTGACACGCCGCCTTGAAGGTCTTGGCGTCATCGGTCAGAGCTGTCCACACTACAGAGCTCCGCAGGGCAGGCGTTGATTCGGCGCCATACCTGTGGGCTGTCCACACTACAGAGCTCCGCAGGGCGGGCGTTGATTCGGCGCCATACCTGTGGGGACATCCGAAGGCGCATGGCTTGGGCGGCCACCAGACTTCTGAGGGTACATCACATCAGCGGTGGGGAGCGGAAATCCCAACTGTCATGTGACGCCAGATGTAACCCCAAACCTGCTGAACGACTTTTTCGTCGGCGTGGGACCGCACGTGGAATGAGGGTACAGGGCCAGACGTCGGTTCTTCCCTGCCGCTTACCTCGCGTTGGGGCCTGCGCCATCAAACTTTCACGACCGATCTCCACGGAACTGCGCATGCTCGTTTTCGGAATTAGCGTTTCATGAGCGTATGGCGACGACGGCACCTGCGTGCGCGTGGTTCGTCTCGGCTTTCAATCGATCTGTGACATGCTGCTCCATCTGGCCAATTCCAGCCTATCCCTATTCAAAGTGCCCGAGTCCTGGAAGCGTTCCGTCATCTTCTCCACCTTCGTATCCGATAATCGCACAAATCCTTCTGGCTTCCGCCCCATTTCTATCGGCCCTATCACAGCAAAAATCGTGGAGCGTGCAGTTGATCAGCAGCTCTGAAGCTACCTCTCCAATAATCACCTCTTTTCTCCAAACCAGCACGGCTTCAGACCACGCCATTCCGCGGAAGCCGGGCTGGTTTGTATATCCGATCACATCTCAACTGCCAACGATCACGGAGACATGTCAATGCTCTGCTTACTTGATATAGACCACCCAAAGTTATAGAAGTTTTTCAAGGGATCAGCATTAGACACCATCTTCGCGAACGATCTTGGACTCTTCGTGGAAGGTGTAATCGTGCAGGACGCGAACGACACTCAAATTCTAACCAAAAAATTATTTCCAAACTACTTTCACGAAGAAGG